GGTCCGGCCCTCCGAGGCGGGGGGGGGCCTCTCCCTCCGCTTCCCATCGCTTCGCAGGCGTCAGCGGCGTGTCCTAACGACCGTGTCGCCAGGGCCCCGGCGTGCGAGCTGCCAGGGGCGCAGGCTGCTGCTGCTGCTCTGTGCCAACCGGGCCGGGAGCGCCGGTGATTCCCTGGGGGCTGGGTCTTGGCGGCAGCGGCTTAGTGCCTGGAATGCCCTTTGGAGGATTGGGGGGTGGGGGCGGTGGGTTCGAGTTGGTCCCCGGGCGAGGCACGAGGGTGAGGTCGGATTTTGCCTTCGGAGGAGAGCATCTCTGCGCGCTCCAGACCCCTCGGCAGATGTCTTGGCGGCCCTCTGCGATCCGGACACGGGCCGGGGTCTTGGTCGCCTAAGGGAATCCGGGGCTTATTGCCCGCTCAGGTGGCGGTCCTGGCCACACCCGTGGCAGGGAGGGCGCCCACGAGGGTGAGCCGGCGGGACTGACTGACTCCCGAGTTTCAAAGGTGCTTGGACTGGCCCTGCCGCTCTCCCGGCGGGAGAACCCGGAGCTCTGCCGCCCTTCAGCCGGCTTGCCCGCAAGTCCCTGCCCAAAGTGACCCTTCGGATGTCCCGGTCGGAGCTGCTCCCTTCTCAGTCAGGGGCAGGGCTAAGCGGGACTGCCCCGGCTAGCCCGATCGCGGCAGCTCTCCGAAGCCAAGCAGGGCCGGCCGGGGTTAGTACTTGGACGGGAGTCAGCCCAGCCAGGCAAGCCAGGGTCGCTGCGCCGAGGCAGGCAACAGCAAACCGCCCCGGACGTCTCTTGCTTGGGAAGCCCCGCGGGGTCGCCAGAAGTCGCTTGCGACTCGACCGCACCCTCCCTCCAACCGCCCAGCAGGACTGCAGAGAGAGACAATCTCTGGGGGTTCGATCGGGCTGGCTCCTGCTCCCCCAGGACTGTAGCCTAAAAGGAAGAGGATCCTTGGGATAAGGGTGATAGTTTGGCCTGGCAGTTAACCGGGCAGGAGAAGGGGGGGCTTTCCCCCTCCCCACTCCTTCCCACCTGCTAACCTTCTCTTCTCTCCCTCCCTCTCCGCAGCCCGTGTTCCTGTCCTTTCGAATAGCCACTGGGGCAGGTAAACCTATTGCCAATGTGCACAAGTGTTGTGTCGTGCAGTGATGTGGTGGTAAATATCACATTAGAACTTCTCTTACTTTCCCCCCTCCCCCTTTTCCCCTACACTTCCCCCCCCAACTCCTTTTTCCCCCTCCTCCCCGTACTTTTGTGGGGAGGCTTAGTCTTTCTTTAAAATGAACAAAAGGTGGGAAAGCCAACCAAATGCCCCGTCACTTCTGCAACAGGGAAAAGATGCCTCCGAAACGAGAAGATCTTTCGGGAAAGTTCCTTGTAGCAAAGAGGAGGAGGAAGAGGAGAGGAGGAGGAAGGCCTCGGAGGTCCACCCCATCGCCTAAATGGAGACATTGCTCCTACCAGTCCTGCGTGCCACCTTCGTAGCATTTCGATTAGAATTGTCATTCCTGTTTCATGATGTTGACCATACACTATCTTCTGGCATCTGGACTTTAGCCCCGGGAAAGGAAAAAGGAAAAAAAAGGAAAAACCCGGAACTGTCATACCTCACCGTCTTGTATATTCCTGTGACATCCACTGTGGGATTTTATTTTTATATGGAGATGCATATTCTGTGCCCCAAATCCAGTTGCCAAAAGCGAAAAAATATCCTCTCCTAGGCGAGACCTTCTGTGTTTTAGACTTCACTGTGCTGTTGTTGTTTTTAAGTTTGTCAATGTGAAATTATATATAATATTCAACATTAGGACAGTTTCCATTGCCCTTCCCTAGCTTAAATGCCAGGTTGGGAATTTTGTACATTACCTTGTATAGAAAGTCCTGGTGTATTGTTACTCCTTAACCAAGATTTATTGTTCCTGTGATTTGAGGGGGGGAAGGGGGGGAGATTAGGTTTAGAGGGTTGAAGAATTTTATTTTTTGTCATTTTTATAGACTTCTTCGTTTTCTCATGTTATTTACTATACTGCCATGTCCCATGGTTTTTGAATCACACACAGCAGCAGCTGCTTTCTATACATACCTGTATATATTTATATATTTCTATGTGAGTGTGTATAGACGATATATATATACACAGATATAGATATAATTTATAATTATAAAGGTTTGTCCCTTCCTGCTTATACAAAAATTAGCCCTTTCCAGAATAGCCAGGATGTATGTACACTTTGAGTGGCAGGAAATTCCGTTGGCTTCAATGGGGTTACATTTCCAAACCAATCGGGTTAGGATCTACCTGTAGAAACACTGTGGTTTATTTCCCCTCCTCTCCCCCTCCTGAAACGCGTCTACTCCGAATGAAAAGCCATCGCAGCCGGATTTTAACCACGTTGAGCCGGAAAGAACTCCCAGTGAAATCTAGTCCGACCCAACAGTCTGATGCTTAATGCATGTTTACTCGAAAGTAAGTGGGCCAAGGCTGGTTAGGACTGTTTTCGAAGGCCGTGCGCCGTCATTGGCGTCAGTGGCCTTTACCACCGAGTCACCCTGCGAAGGGTCAGGCGCGTGTTTCAGATCGTGGTCTTTTCAGGGTACCGTGTGGAGAGGTGCTAGTGGACTCTGATGGGCTGTCGAGGATCCTGGTCTCCCGAGTGCCAGATCCGCTAAACGGTCTCCCCCCCCCCCCGTGTATATATCGATTCAGGCCCCTTCTCCGTCTGCCTACTGTAGTCACGTATTGAAGCATAAAAGTCTGGTGCCAAGTATTCGCTAAACCCAGTAAGCGGACGCAACTTTCGACTGGGTCGTTCACCAGCTTTTGAGAGGCAGGAAGGGACTGGTTGGGAGCTCTCCCTCCCTCCCTCTAAAAGGGAAAAAAATACCCCTCTGGTGGGTTGGCTGGCCTGTTTGTCTCCCCCCCCCCCTTCCCCTCAGTGCAGCATACTAGGTGATTAGCAGGTCTGCAAATGAAACACAAACGGAAGGAGGGCGGGCGGGTGGCTTGCAAGTAGAACACTACCGAGTTCAGGGACTGGGCGAGGGGGAGGCAGCCCTCGGATATCAGTCACTCCCAGGCGTGGGGGACGGGGGGGGGAAGGGTGAATGGTGATTCCCCAACAAAAAAAGAAGCTGGGTTTACCCCAGGCTGGAGTCAAAGACACGCGTTTGGGAGAGACAGTTGGCGTTTTCATGTGTTCCATGTGGGAAAGGAGCGCTCTGGTTCTCAAGCAATAAAACTGATCATGGTGAGAAAACGAAAGACTGGCTGGCGTGTTGATCTTCTCCGCGACATGCAAGATAAGGGGGGAAACAGAGAAGAGGCAGTAGAAATCTTCCTCGAGGGGGCGGGGTCGTCCCTGCTGAGACCTAATGGGATTAGCTGTGTGGGAGATGCTTTCTGCACATGCTCAGACACACTCTTCTTTCTTGCCACTGCCCAGATTTCAGGGCTAAACATGTCAGGCTGTTAAAAAGCAGACAACCACGGGGAAACAAATGTAATGGGAAGGGAGAGGGGAAAGAACACGCCCTCGTGCCAGTTTTGATGCCCAAAGGCGTAGGAAAGCGGTAAAATCTCATTTTTGGTTTTCACAATCTGCTAAACACAGTGCAATTAAAATATCTGCCGACTTCCGGGCAGAGGCATTTATCTTGCAGCTCTGCAAACTAGTCTCCAGAAATACTTCTTTTAAATAATTTTTAAAAATACAAACAACCTGAATCCTTTCTATATTTGCCCAGGAGAAAGTCCCACTGAACTCAGTGGAACAGACTTTCTGAGTAGGCAGGTTTAGGGTCAAGTCAAGCTGGTTTCAGCAAAAGATCATATCTCTACATATCCTGTTGGACAATGTGTAAATATAACTCCTGGTCAGCACTTGGCCCCTTTGCACATTTAGTAAAAGTCATTTCCACAGAGTTTTACCCCAGCCAGGTGAGCATGGGATCACAGCTCCCTTTTAAGGGAGAAAAAATTTAAATCCTTAGGGGGGGGGAAATCCCACAGATCCAGTGGACTTTGATAGGTGTGTGTTTAAACCTGGAGTACAAGTTGCCTGCCCTGCCCTGGATAACCCAGGCTAGCCCAATCTGGTCACCTCCCAGAAGCTAAGCAGGGTCAGTGCAGCTTAGTAATTGAGACCAGCAAGGAATACCAGGTTCTCTATGCAGAGGTAGACAGTGGCAAACCACTTCTGAATGTCTGGTGCCTTGAAAACCCTACAGTCGCCATAAATCAGCTGCGACTTGATGGCAAAAGTTGCCTTACATAATCGCTCTGACTTCACTGGAGTGTTAGCTAACTTACTTTCACATGCTATTTGGAGCTGGAAACTAAACAGTCATGCTGATAAATTAATTTTATCACAACCTCTCCCCAGCACTCATAGAGTTTTAAAGATTTCTATAATGCCTTCCAGTGGCCCCAAGGTCTTTAGGTTGTGTTTGGTAGAACATTTAGGTTTGGTTTCCTGAGCCCCTAATTCCTCCCTGGAAGCATCATTCTGTTCACAAAGCATAGCAAAATCCCTGTGCATCAGGCACTGAGATGTCCTGGGTAATTCGGAGCCCGGGGAGGCTGCTGCAGGCTTGCCAGTTGTCTTGCATTGAAGAAAACTTCACCACTACCATAAAATGATAAAGATGTCCAAGGGAAATAAAAACTTCAAGCATCTATCTGGCACAAACACTCTACCAAACATAGTTGCTTTTGCAGCACAATGGTATCAGTTCGGTTATTTGAAGCCAATGATAAGATTTTTTTTTTTACAGAGTACTCAGTCTCTTTAGTTGGTGGTGCCTGTTTTATTTGGGTGGTGGTGGGTTTTTTGTTTTTTTTAAAAAGCAATGAGCCAGGCCTGCTCAGTTGTGACTAACAAAGTCACATGCAGCCTACCATCCATGCACAATCACCTACCAAGGCTGGATAAGCTTGATTTCGCTGCAAGAACACATGGGTTGTCATCTACTTGGCAGTGTTTGAGGCCTGTTCTGTCTCATGGATACAACTTGTGTGAGACTTTATTAAGACAAAGTCACCTACACAACGGTCAAGCTGCAGGTTAGCTGAGTCTAAGGTTGCCAGTCTGAGATCCTGGAAAGGTTCTGTTATAGTTTTATTAGCAGTGAAGAAGAGAGAGTTTTTCTCACTGATGTTCTATGAGGGGGGCATGGGATGGGATGGTATAGCCCAGTCTCATAGATCTTGGAAGCTAAGCAGATCAGTACTTGGATGGGAGACCACCATGGAAGACTCTGCAGAGGAAGGCAATAGCAAACCACCTCTGTTTGTTACTTGCCTTGAAAGCCTCTTGCTGGGGTCACCATAAGTCAGTTCCAACTTACTGGCACATACAAGCACATTTTATGAGATGGGACACTGCACCTTGTAACATCCTCCCTTCAATTCCAACTATACTGTACATCCATTGCTTCAGCAGAATACGGATAGTGGAAGTATAAGCAGAACAATCTTTAGGTAGCAAAAGGTCAAGTGTTTTGTGTGTTTCACTAATTATACAGCAACTGTCTGTCTTAATGGGTCAAAATCCCTAATTTGGCAAATCTCAGCAACCAGCTGCTTCGATAGTCTGGGAGCCACCATACGGAAGACCTATCTACAACAGCTAGCAGCCCAATAGAGGGAGGAGCCATTAAAAAGTTATCTGAATCTTCACAAACAGGGACATACCTCTGAGAGAAGGCATGTCCCTGACTATCCTGCACCCAGACTATAAAGTGCTTTCAAGGTAACAGGCTTCTTGAATTCAGCTCAAACATCACCTGGTATCCAGTGGAGTTGACCTGGTGTTGGAGACTGATCTGTTCTTCAAAAGGCAGCCTCCCAAATCTGCATTACAGTAATCCAGATGGGACATTATTATTAAGGATGCACCACCATGGCCAAGTCCTTTTCCAAGCAGGGTGTAGTTGATTAGTCAAAGTAGATAAAGGCTGTGATCACACACGCTAAATAATCCAATTTCAATGCACTTTCCAACTGGATTTTACTGTGTGGACTGGCAAAATCCAGTTGGAAAGTGGATTGTTCAGTGTGTGTGATTGCAGTTGTGTCCTCTCCCCCCCCCTGCCTCTTCCCCCCCCCCCCCACGGCCTCCATCCCCTTCAGGGGATCTGGATCTAGAAGCTCTCACACACCTGCAGTTTCCAGTTGGAGTGTGCCCCCCCCCCCATCATTTGGGACAGGCATTTCCACTGCAGTACCAATACTAAGACTACCTACCATGAGCAACTCTGCCTTGTGTGCATTAAAGTTCTGTTTGTTCACCTTCATCTGGCAAGTCTTCAGGGCTCATTTGTGACAGCAACAGACCAATAAAAAAGAAACTTTGTGCAGATGTTTTGTTGGGAGGGGGGAATGCTCTAGTAGCAGCAGCTTGGAGCATGAGCATACTTCATGTAGATGTTGGCCGTGCAATCTGTACATTCTATTTTCCAACAGTATATATTTCACTATTGGGGTTTATACATATTGTACATTATGCATGCGTTCACACGCATAGATATTGGATGTATGGAGAGGATGATTACACACTTGGGAGCAGGTGCATGTGTGCCGGCACACAGTTAACTGAAACAAACTAGATATGGATCTGACTGTACATGTTCCAATGTAGGCCAATAGAAGAAAATTGGCAAAAGAGCAACTTGTATCATTTAATCCTTTCTGGGTCTAGGAAGTTTTGTCTAATCGTGTCATTGTCTGGCTTTTCTTGTTCATCCGTGGTGCAAATTTAAGGCCGTTTGAATTGATCTCTCCCCATTCACTGGAAAGGCTCCAAATCGGCAGCCTTCCGCTTCATTGAAATCACCAGGATTCAAACTGACCGGTACTGCGCTGTAAATCAATGAAACTTTAAGGAAATATGTTTGCAGACTGGGCATTTGCCGTGCGTTCAACAAGTCCAGATTTCTTCCGTCTCCTTATTTCCACTCAAGGAAAACTTGCCCTTGCTGGTTTTCCTTAATGACAGAAGACCGCTCGTCCAGAAATCCTCGTCGTCGCCTCTTCCCTTCCTTAGGAGCCGGGCGGAAATCGTGTCCCTGCCACCCTCAATAAAAGCGATTCCACTCTGGCTCCTCCCGCGAAGCTCAGTCGTCATCTTCCGAGCGTGTACCGCGGCTCTGCATCTGGGTGAGAAATTCTTTTGCGGCTGCTAGCCAACTCTCTTCTTCTTACGACCCCTCCTCCCGACTTGGAACTGGCCGTTTAAGAGTAAAAGTCGACTGGCCTGTTCCAAATTAGTCAGAGACAGAGGGGAGAAAGATGGAGTTCCGGATAAACGTAGGGGGAATTGTTTCGCCTGCCCGGAAGGCCTACGACAAAATTTCCGGAAAAGGTGGCGCCCAGCCGTTTAGTAAGACTGAGAATTTGTTGGAAAGGGAGAAATCCATTTCTAGAGCAGCCATGTTAGGTATTGTAGCAAAACAAAACAGAAGTTCAGCGGCACTGTAAGGACTAACATAATTTATTCGAGCTTGAGGATTTCTCGGAGACAGGAAAGTTTTAGATCAGTTTGGTCCTCCAAACTTTGTTATCTTTGGTTGGGCTGCACTTTATTTCCAGACACTTCTATTTGGGGTAAGGTGAGAATAGTTTGTGTTCCCGAAAAAATAGGCTGTATCAGACCTAACTGAGAAAGTAAGGGGAAAGTCGAGGACCTGGGTAATTGTAAAGCTTTACGTTTGCACTGCAAACTTAATCGAGCTCTTCATCTAGGTTAATGCCTAATTTTTATCCCACAGTGGTAGACATGGCCTTCCACCTACCTTATATCTTCAGGACAAACCTGTAATAGGTTAGGCTGAGACAGTGACCCAGGGTCACTCAATGAGTTATACGATACATGGGGGTTTGTATCTTCAGCTTCTAGCTTTGGAGATATAAAATGAGTATCTAATCACATGCAAAGTGCCTCTTTCTCTTCGTATCTAAGCTTTGGGGGGGGCTACATATGTTTGGGCAACTTCCACAAATACCATAATACACCATTCAAGATGCATCACTACATTGGCCAGTTGCCCATATGTGGGCACTCCAAAGGCTCAGCTATGTTTTCCTGTGACAGGTTTTAAGTTGTGATAATGCTTCCAGTTCAGAGGGAATGTTTCCAGACAGGACTGAACCCCAAGTGCTCCTCACTATAGAAATTAAGCTTTGGGGCACAGTGCTAGGATCCAGCATTATTTAATATTTATTTATTTATTTTATCACATTCATACTCTGCCTTCCACCCCAGTGGATAACTCAAAGTGGCTGAAATTTGCAAGTGCAGTCCGTTTTCGTAGGCAACACAATTTTAATCTTGAATCTCTTGTGTCCTTTGTCAAGTTGAGAGACAAAATGGAACAGAAATGTTTTGAATCGTGAGGAGCTTCTCTTTGCATCTGAATTGTGCTTTAGTCCATACACAGAACAGAAACAGAAAACCTTTATTCGGCATAACCCATACACACTTATGATGGTACAAAATATAACTTGCCTGCAAGGTGCCACTGAATCCTTATGTTTGTTGCGATTGGGTAATCAGGCTGCAACCCTCACATTAAAAAATCTTTCAATCTTGTTTGGGGAACTGATGGATTCGGAAGCTTCCCTCTCAAAAGGTGAAAACTCTCGTGAGAAAAAGGTCTTCAACTTGTCCGAGAACTTAACATCAAACTTTAGCTAGGAATGGCAGTCAGGTGCATGTTATTTCCAAACTACAGTACGGTTCAGCCTACTTTCACTTAGAACACCCCTGCGAGGCAGAGAAAAGGGCTTGCTGAGCTTTGACAGGATGCCCTTGCTTGACCTACTTTGTGGGTAGTTAAACAGAGGGAGTAGAGGTGCTCTTGAGGGAAAGGAAACATTTTCCCCCGTATGCCCATTTCACATGGCATGCAAGTATCCTCAGTTACCTACAAATCTGGCCAGCTCACACTGTACCTGTTGCTTTAAACAATGGAAGAGGCCTGTTTATTTATTGTATTTGTATGCAGATCAAAGGCACAAACCTGGTTGCTTAAAAATAAAGACTGTCTCTTCAACTTGTACTCATAAAATCACTATAATAAATTTGCAACCATTTACAATTTAATCACAAGCGGGAATTAAGATTGCTGGGGAAAAGATCAACAACCTCAGATATGGAGACGATACCACTCTAATGGCAGAAAGTGAAGAGGACCTTAAGAACCTCTTGCTCAGGGTAAAAGAGGAGAGCGCAAAAGTGGGCTGGAAGCTCAACATCAAAAAAAACTAAGATCATGGCATCCGGCCCCATCACTCCTTGGCAAATAGAAGGGGAAGTCGTGGAAGTAGTGACAGACTTCACGTTCCTGGGATCCCAGATCGCCGCAGACTGTGACAGCAGCCATGAAATTAAAAGACGCCTGCTCCTTGGGAGGAAAGCGATGGCGAACCTAACAGCATGATAAAAAGTAGAGACATCACCCTGCCAACAAAAGTCCGCATGGTCAAAGCAATGGTATTCCCAGTAGTCATGTATGGCTGCGAGAGTTGGACTATAAGGAAGGCCGAGCGCCGAAGAATAGATTCTTTTGAACTATGGTGCTGGAGAAGACGGATTGCTAGGAGATCAAATCAGTCAATCCTAAAAGAAATCAACCCTGACTGTTCCCTGGAAGGCCAGATAATGAAACTGAAGCTCAAATACTTTGGCCACCAAATGAGAAGGGAGCACTCACTGGAGAAGACCCTGATGCTGGGAAAGATTGAAGGTCAAAGAAGACGGGGACGACAAAGGATGAGATGGTTAGACAGTGTCATAGATGCAATGAACATGAAATTGAGCAAACTTCAGAGGACGGCGGAAGACAGGAAGGCCTGGCGTGATCTGGTCCATGGGGTCGCAAAGAGTCGGACTCGACTGTGCGACTGAACAACAACAACAATTTAATATATCCAAGAGTGGGCTTTGAATTTTGCTAAACATCCTTCTGACCCCTCTCCTGAAATTTCTTTGCGTGTGTGCCCATATTAAAAGGAAGAAAACTCTAACCTACTTAGGTTCTTACATATTTATTTTTTCAGATTTGGTTGTTGCCACCTGGATTTTCTGCCTTCAGATGCTTAAGTGTCTTTTACTCTGTGCTTCCCTGCCAGATTCTCAGCACGCAAAGTGGACATTAGTTTAATCTCTTTCAATGACCCTGACATCCCTGTAGCCAGTGACCCTAGCAGGTCTTGCTTGCCTTTCTGAACAGGTCTGTGTGCGTTTTCACATGAGTTGCTTGTGTCTAATTGCCTCTTCTCTCACACAATCCACACATAGAAGTTAGAGGTACAATATTTCATCAGTTGATTGACTACAAAGGATGATTAACTCAGTTAACACAGCTGCTTTCCAAAACGCTTAATACAACTTTGCACATAATCTACAGCCAGCAAGTACCTTTTTGAGGAGGCATTCCCTTCTCTTTCACACCATGTGTATTTTAAACTGCTTATTTTATTTATTTTAAACTGTATTTTAAACTCTTTGTGCCAGAACTGTTTTTACTCACAGGAAAATTTGTGTGGTTTTTATCTGATTAGGGCGGCTGCCCTAATACTGTATTTTGAAACTGAAAGGAATCCAGTTAAATTGTCTGAAATTGTATGCAGCAAGATGGTCTCACACTTACCTCTCCAACACAGGTTTCACTTGCAAGCAGCAGTCACACAACATCAAAGATTCATGGGTGACAGATGGGGCAGGTGCAGCAGAAACCTGCTCTTCTTTTCCTCCAACTGGTGGGTGGGTGGCTGTAGGCAATTGAATCCCCCCTCCCCAGTGCAGGGCCCAAGGCAGCTGTTACCCATTGGCTGAGATCATGCATTCACTTTTGCAGGAAAACTGACCCAGGCCTCAGTGAGTAAAGCATCTCCCCCCTGGTGAATTTTCAGGCATCTGAACTGGGCTTGAAGTTAGTTGCCTTCCTCTATAAAGCCTTAACCAACACACAGCTCCCAAATGGGGAGTGGGAAGGCAGGTTCAAATCCTTACCCTGCAATGGAGACTTGCTGGGTGACCTCGGACCAGTCATTCTCTCTCAACCTTAACCTGTTGCTATGGGGATAAAATGGAGAAGATGGGGGACAATCTTCTAAGCCTATTTGTCTCCACTGGGAGGAAAGGCAGGGAATGAATGAATAAACAGGCAAGCCAGCCCTCTGGTTCCCACTGAAATCAATGGTGAAATTGTCATTGCCGACCCTGCATCAAGAATATTATTGGTGTCTTCAAGCTCATTGCAGCAGGTCTTCCTCCATTATGGTTGTACTTTACCCAGGTAAGTCTGGATCCTCTCTTTCCAAAGGCAGAGAACCTGACCCTACAAAAAACAAAAACCACTCCCAGGAAGAGCTGAGACAGCAAACTCCGCGAAGCAGAGGAAAGGCATCACTGCTGCCCATCCCAAAGGGTGACATTTTGCAAGAAGAGGAGCTTGTTAAATAATTTATTGATTTATACAAAGTCTTTCCAACTGTAAGAGTTTCGAAGCCCGTTGAAAATCAAGTGTTGCGGTCCTCTCTCCCTTTCGACACCCGTTTCAACGAAAAGGGGAGATCAGCGAAGCCGTCCAAATCCAAAATAAAAGAGGAGGAAAGAAAACTTTTTTGTTTTGTTTTTTACACTAGAAATATACATCACAAAATCTGTAATTTCCTATATACAAAGTGGCTGAGCGGGAGTCCCACCACCCATATACAAAACAGTAACAAAAGCTTGACTGTTGGGGGGTCGGGGAGGGAGAAACAAAGCGCTTTCCTGTAGGCAAACCCCTCCGCCCCCTAATTCTAAGCCCAGTTGCTTCGAAGGGAGGGCCGCTGATTTCCGTGGAGCTTCCCCTCCCCCAGCAAGCCGGCTCAGATCGAGGTAGGACGGGGAAGTCAGTTCCCTCGACAGCAGCAGCCCTTCGGCAGAGAGAGAGAGAAAGAAAATAAGGCTACTGAAGTCCCTTTGAGCCCAGCGGGAGGTCTCTCTGAGCCGGGGGAGGCAGAAGGCAGCCTGGTCTTACCCTTGGCAAACCCAGCTCTGCAGCCGCATCCGGCCTGCCACGGGCGGCGAGTCAGTGGAGCTCCCTGCCAAGTGAATGGAGCTCCCTGGGGTGCCTGGAGGTTCCACCCCAAACGCTCTTTTACCGGCCCAAGAGTCTCTGGCGGTCAGAGCCTCTCTCTGCCCGTTCGCTCAAAAGCTGGGTCTGCTGAGATTCCCCCCCGGGGTGGGGGGACTACACTGCAGATCATGGCAGCCCAACTGAGCGGCAAAACTAAACTTCCCAGGAGTTTCGCCAGCTCTGGGTTGGGAAGATACCTGGAGACTGGGGGAAGCTTGCGGAGGGTAGAGTTGGGGGGGAGGGACTCCAATGGGGTACGAAGCCAGAGGGTCCACCTCCCCAAGCGGCCATTTTCTCCAGGCAACCGGATCTCTGAGTCCCAGGAGATTTCCAGCCGCCACCTGGAGGTTGGCAACCGTACTTCCCGGCCACGTTTGCTGGAGGAAAGGTTTGTTTGGGTGCCGCCCCGTTTCAGGGGCGGCAGAGAGCAGACCAGATCGGGGGGCAGGGGGGAGAGGCTGGACCAGGGAGCGACCCCGGGGGTCGAAGTCGCAGAGGTGTTCTCCTCCCCCACCGGCCTGCCGAGCGGGAGGGAAAACCGCTGGCGAGGCCGGACCGGCGCTTCCCCTTCCTCGCCCGAGCGGATGCCCTACAAATCTATATACAGAGACGACGCTTCCCTTCCGCGACGGGGCGGGCTGTACAGGCGGGGCGGCGTCGGCTGCTACCCTGCTTGGCCGGAGGGGGTCGCGGGCGGCAGTCAGGAGGGCTCGGAGGCGTTGCTGCAGGGGCTGAGGAGGGCCAGCGGGGCGCCGGCGGCCGCCTTGTGCTTCTGGAGGAGCCGCGTGATCTTCTCGTCGTCGGAGTTGGGGTCCAGCGGCTTGTTGTACTCGTCGTCGTCCTCGTTCTCCGAGCTCTCCTTCAGCTTCTCCGTCTCCGAGTCGTGCTTCTTCTTGGCCGAGGCCATCTCGGCGGCGTGCCGCTTCCGCCACTTGGTCCGCCGGTTCTGGAACCACACCTGCAAGCGGGGGATGGGGGGGGGAGGGGGAGAGCAACACCGGCCGTCAGGCACCCCCGAGCGCAAGCCCGCCCGCCCGCCCTGGGAGGGGCCCGCCGGCAGCCTAGCCACTCTTGGGGGCGGGTCCCCATCGCTCAATGCTTGGGCGCTAGCCGCTAGGGATGCCAGCCTCCAGGTGGGACCGGGGGATCCCCCGGAATTGCA